CACTGCCTTTATGTCCTGACCCTCTGTTTCTGCAGGAATCCCAGTACTTGCATGGAGAGTTTCAAGGACCTGCCTGTGGAAGCCATGGCCCCTACGTGCCTAATGTCTTCTTCTGGTGCTGCATCCTCTTCTTCTCCACCTTCACGCTCTCAGGCTTCCTGAAGAAGTTTAAGACCAGCCGTTACTTCTCAGCCAGGGTAGGTAGAAGACAGTGGCCAGCAGCAGTCTCCACACGCATCTCCCAAAATGGCTTTTCTGCAGCACTGAGCAGGATTTGCTGCCATGTGGTCGAGCTGGGAAGCGTTGACCTTGAAAGCCAAGCTCTGGCACAGCTTGGATGTCCCTCATCCATTTCCATGAGCGCAAAACAATCACAGAATTTCCCACCTGCCTGGCAAGTGGTTTTTTGCTCAGGCAGCAGGAAACCAAAGTCAGTGCTTTTTAACTTCTGTGCATGATGCGCTTGAGAGGAAAGTTGGCTTCAGTGAGAAGCTGCCAGAGCAATAGATGCCATTTCTGCCTTTGGAGGAACAAGTGATGCCTCCGTGCCTTATTCCCATGGGGGCTGGCAGTGTGGCTGTGCCTTCTTACTGTTCAGTCTATGCATTTTCTGAAATGTTTGAATGAAACAACCCTTTCCACCTAATTGCACTTTTCGAATTGTCTGACACCAGCTATGCCAGGGACAAACACGGCAACGGTATCTACCCAAGGGATGAGGCTGCGTGTCCTCAGAGTGGTGGGGTTTTGTCCATCAGCCTGAATGTTGGTGACGTCCCCACCTTTGCCACCTCAGGGCATGGCCCTGTTCACAATGCCCCTCTCAGCTCTGGTTTCTTGCCCCAGGTACAGTCCACAGTGAGCAACTTTGCTGTTTTCCTGACCATCGGCATCATTGTGCTCATTGAATTCTGGATGGGAATCCCGTCACCGAAGCTCCACGTCCCCGAGAAGTTCAAGGTAATTGAGTGTTGTGGCCTGGAGCTGGTGTCAGCGCTTGGGGTGCCCCAAGCTGACAGTGGGGCAGGACAGGGTTCAGTCTGGAGGAGATGCTGGTGATGTGGCCATCTCTTCTCCTCGCTCCAAGTGCATCGTTCCCTTCTGGAAGCGAGAAGGCAGCCCCAAAACTAGATACCTCCAGGAGAAGTGTCTGTGGGTCCTTGCATAGGGGACACAGCACTGCTGAAGCCCACGGGAGAGAGTGACCAGCAGCCGGGACTGGGACAGGGGTGACACGAGGATCACGGGATCACAGAATCACAGAATGTTAGGGGTTGGAAGGGACCTCGAAAGATCACTTAGTCCAACCCTCAGATCATCTAGTCCAACCCTCATGGACGGAGGGGAAGAATCAAAGCCAGCGAAGTGTCTGGGCTGGGCAGTGATGCCGACATGTGTGTGTTGTTGCAGCCTACCAGAGCCAACCACGGATGGTTGATCAACCCCATCGGACCCAACCCTTGGTGGATGGTGTTGGCTGCACTCGTCCCAGCTCTGCTCTGCACCATCTTGATCTTCATGGACCAGCAGATCACCACTGTGATCGTGAACAGGAGGGAGCACAGGCTGAAGGTGAGGGGCGGCAGTGAGGAGACCATCCCTAACCCCTCCGGGCTGCAGGTGTGGGGAGAAGCTCCTGTTCCAAACGTTTGGTGAAGGCGTTGGTTTGGGTCAGCATCAGGCTGCGTGGCAGGATGCTCTCCGGGACTAATGATGGTGCAGGGAGTGAACGGGAGGAGAGGACCAATGAGCAATCCTGCAAAGGAGCAAGTTGGTCATAGACTGGTAGAGCAGGACGGTTTTGCTGTCAAATGTCAGCAGCAGCAGCTGGGGAATGAGCCATCTGGATGGGCTGTCAGAGATAACTCTGTCACAGCTTATGTGCAAGTGGTGGAACTTCCTTCATGAATGAAAAGAATAGGCTTCTTTGTTTGGTTTTTTTTGGAGAAGTAGCTATGGCACAAACTGTGCGAATCCACAGTGTCTGAACTCCTTACAGGTTGTGATGCAAGGTGCTTGCGCAAAGACTGGATACATCCTTCCTTGCTTGCAGACGTCGACTTGCGCTCCAGTAGGGTTTGAGTGTGATTTCCGACTTTGCTCGCTCTTACACTGTGGAGTGGTCTTCTTGTTTTTCTCCCTGCAGAAGGGCTGTGGGTACCACCTGGACCTTCTCATGGTGGCCATGATTCTCGGGGCTGCCTTGGTTTGTGGCTGTGACCATCCTGTCCATCACCCCCGTGAACAGCCTCAGAGTGGAGTCTGCCAGCTCAGCTCTGGGAGAACAACCCAAGTTCCTGGGGATACGAGAGCAAAGAGTCACCGGCTTGATGATCTTTGTTCTCATTGGCTGCTCTATCTTCCTCACTCCTCTGTTAAAGGTAAGAGGAAAATGCAAAATGCCCAACAACCATGGGCTTTTGGAGGTTATACAAAACCAGTGCCCTCTCTCCAGGCCTGAGGAGTTGTGGAGCGGAGCAGGGGGAGCTGATCCCAAACTCTGGGGCTTGCCCCATGGTAGGAACCAGCCTGACTTACCTTTCCCAGCCCTTCAGACCGCAGTTTGGTGGCTTCAGGCAAGCGAGCGACACCACGGCGCTAATTCCCACGTGTCTTTCAGGCCCACCTGTGATCCCAGGTTCCAAGGAAATGTGTTCAGAGCAGGACATCTGCTCTTTTTCAGACAGGCACCACTTTGCGGGGTGCAGTTTCCTCCGCCAAATACCTCGCAACAGCCGGTCCTAAGACAAATCTGACACACCGTTAACCCTGTGGAAGCTGCAGAGCTTTAGGCAATTTGAGGCAGTGCCTGTAGAAGAGAGTGGTACTACTGAAAATGGAATGTTTTCAAATAAATAATTGCATTCTTTCTTTGCAGTTCATCCCAATGCCCATGCTTTACGGCATCTTTCTCGACATGGGTGTGTCGTCGCTCGGAGGAATGCAGGTACGTAGGGCTGGGAGGCGCAGACAAGTTCAGCATGCTCTTCTTCGGGCTTCAGGGCAGGTCAGGGTTTGGTTATGCAAGAACAGGGGAAGGGAGTGCAAAGGGAAGGCAATTTCTACCGCTGGTGGAAATCCTTGGCCGTTGGTGGGCCAGGAAAGGCTGATGACAGAATAGCATGGAATAACTGCAATTTGGTGGGCAGCTCTCAGGCAAGCTGCTTTACAGAGGGAGCGAAGGGGAAACAGGTGCTGCTCCCAGGAGGAACGTGGTGAGATCCAGGATTTCTCATTGCACACGAGAGCCTGAGTCCTGCTGCATGTCTTGCCAGGGCCAGAAAGTTTCCACAGTCCCACGGTGGCAGCATTTCACCTTTGATTTTGCAGTTCTTTGACCACTGGAAGCTGTTTGCGATGCCGGTGAAACACCAGCCAGACTTCACCTACCTGCGGCACGTGCCCTTATGAAAGGTGCATCTCTTCACCACCATCCAGCTGCCCTGCCTCATGCTACTCTGGGCCATCAAGGTGACTCATGCCGCCATCATCTTCCCCATGCTGATGAGAGCCGGTGCTGCTTGGGAGCGGCGTGTTTGCAGTGTTGGAGTGAGATATAGCAGCACTATCTCTAGCCTCACCTCCTCTTCCCGCTTCTTTATGAAGGTTTTGGCAATCGTTTTTGTCCGGAAAGCGATGGATTTCTGCTTCTCAAAGCGAGAGCTCAGCTTTCTGGACGACCTTATGCCAGAAGGCAAGAAGAAGAAATTGGAAGATGCCGTAGTTGAAGCCTAAGAGGAAGAGATAAATCTTGCTGGGTGCTTGGGGCTGGGCATCTCCTGCGGGCTGTGACATTGCCTGTTTCTATCACAGCGTGCCTTGAAATGGGGGAGAAGAGCAGAACTCTATAGGAACAGATCCCA